CAGGAGTTAAACCAGTAACAAGCAAATTAGAAAGATCTAATGAAAGAGGTGCAGGGACAGGTTGATACAGAGACCCTTTTATTGTAATTTCTTCTTCATTGTTATCAACACTTAATGTACTATCACGTGAACTTTGTATTAATCTCTTTATCTCTTCTAAATAAGAAGGATTTTTTTCAAATACATCATCAGCAATATCTAACATGGCGTTCCAAATATCATCACGTGCTAAATCCCGACCGTAATTCTGACACCATGTTTTAAGTATTATCATTAACCTTTCACTTATTTTATTTGTTTGAGTTTGTTGTTCATCATCACCATCAACATCATCGAGTTTACTTTGGATGCTTGCGCAACGTTTCAATTCACGAGAAACGTGAGATATTTCAGCAAAAAGTGGATAAGTTAAAAGAAATGAATGAAGAAATTCATCATTTTCTTCAGAGCCTTTTTGAGTTTCAAATACAAGTTCGTGGATTAATGAATCAATGGAACCCCCACGAATAAGAGCTTGAGATTTTAATTCTATTACAGGTGAAGATGATGATTCGACCTCAGATGGTGGTGGTGGTGGTGATGATGATAATTCGATTTCGGGAGATGATGATAAGAATAAAGTATTATTGTCAAGAGATTGTTCCATAACTATCAGTACGTTGGTTTCTTTAATTTGCTCAGACTGCTCGATAACTGCTGGTACATTGGTTTCTTTAATTTGCTCAGATTTCTCCATAACTACTGGTAAGTTGGTTTCTTTAATTTGCTCAGACTGCTCGATAACTGCTGGTACGTTAGTTTCTTTAATTTGCTCAGATTTCTCCATAACTACCGGTACGTTAGTTTCTTTAATTTGCTCCGATTTCTCCATAACTACTGGTACGTTAGTTTCCTTAATTTGCTCAGATTTCTCAATAACTACTGGTACGTTAGTTTCTTTAATTTGCTCAGATTTCTCCATAACTACTGGTACGTTAGTTTCTTTAATTTGCTCAGATTTCTCCATGACTAATGGTACACCAATTTCTTTAATCTGCTCAGATTTCTCCATAACTAACGGTACGTTAGTTTCTTTAATCTGCTCAGATTTCTCCATAACTAACGGTACGTCAGTTTCTTTAATCTGCTCAGATTTCTCCATAACTAACGGTACATCAGTTTCTTTAATCTGCTCAGATTTCTCAATAACTAACGGTACGTCAGTTTCTTTAATTTGCTCAGATTTTTCCATAACTAACTGTACGTCAGTTTCTTTAATTTGCTCAGATTTCTCTATAACTAACGGTACATCAATTTCTTCAGATTTCTCCATAACTAACGGAACATCAATTTCTTCAGATTTCTCCATAACTAACGGAACATCAGTTTCTTTAATTTGCTCAGATTTCTCCATTACTAACGGAACGTCAGTTTCTTTAATTTGCCCAGATATTTCCATAGATTGCTTCACAACTATTGGTACTTCGGTTTCTTTAATTTGATCAGATTGCTTCACAACTACTGGTACTTCGGTTTCTTTAATTTGCTCAGATTGCTTCAAAACTACTGGTACTTCAGTTTCTTTAATTTGCCCAGATTGCTTCACAACTACTGGTACTTCAATTTCTTTAATTTGGTCAAATTGCTTCACAACTACTGGTACTTCGATTTCCTTAATTTCCTCAAATTGCTTCACAACTACTGGTACTTCGATTTCTTTTATTTGCTCAGATTGCTCCATAATTACCGGTACTTCAATTTCTTTAATTTGCTCAGATTGTTCTATAATTACCGGTACATCAATTTCTTTAATTATTAGTTCAGGATGTTTACCAGTATTCCAAAATGCTCTCCTTCTTGGTGTTGTATTATCAGGTTTTTCATCACCAACAGTTCCTGTATGATCTTGAGAACCATTAGTACCACCACCACCTCGTATACCATTTTGTATAGTTGTTAAACCATTATTTTGATCAAAGTCATTATTCTGACCTTTTGAATGTTTATCAGATAATTTCATTAATTTTCTTAAATTTGCTTTTTTAGCATCCCATAATTTTGAAATCCATAAAGATCTAACTTCATTACTAGAAGCAACAAAAACTCGATAACTATCTTTTTCACCATTATCTACAATATTTAAATAAAGAATAACACCAGAAGTTGAAGAAACATTTGCAATAGCTGATACATTAGAAGAAACAGATCGTAAAGAAGAAGTATCATCATTTCTATTTGCATTAAATGAAGGTTGTAAAGAAGGAGCTATATATGGAGAATAACCCATAGGTAAATTTGGATCTGGAATAACATCTACACTATGAATTGAATAACTAGCATCAAGTTTCCATTTTGTATAATAACCTTTACCTTTATTTATTGAAAAAGTATCATTATCAGGTATACCACGAGTACTACTAATAGATCTAGTATCCCAATCTTGACCATTAATATCAGAATTGTTGTTGTTATTGTTGTTATTATTATTATTATTGTTATTAAAATTAACATTCGTAGAAGAATGATTTCCACCACCAAATCCCATAGCATCAATTATTAAATTTGCACTAGTATATCTTACCCATTTACGTTTACATATTATAACATTGTCCTCAAATATAAGTAAACATACATGCTTCTTGAATCGCATAGCAACAGTACGATCTATCTCATAACAAATTTCACCATAATAATACTTTGAGATTAGAGGTGGATTATTAAAATTAAGATGATGATGATTGTTGATTGTTGTTGAAGAATTTGAAGTATTGAAAATTAATTTACTAGCACTTGATTCAAAATTTGATGGATTAAGAAGCATACCACGATCGTTGGTAGTAGTAGTAGTAGTAGTAATAGGTGAAAGAGTTGAAATGATATCTTTTCCCAAAGATAAATCTTTATTGTTTGGAAAAAAAGTCTTTAAAACAGCCTCAGAAGGAGGACGATAAAAATACAATTTTGAACCTCTTAAAATCACACGGTAAACTTTCCAGCCGCGTGAAGAAGAAGAAGTAGTAGTAGTAGTAATAGAAATAGATTTTACGTCAAAATCAATTTTTTTGTTTAAATAACCTTCTTTAATGATAGGAACGTTTGATATTGAAGCGGAACGATTAATACGTAAACCATTAGTAATATCGACATGATGAACATTGATGGCAGGTACAGCACCATAAAGACCGGTATCTTTTTTTCCGGAAGAAGGTAAAATAGGTACAGCACCATAAATACTTGAAGAATCTTTGATATTAATTGAAGAAGATAGATTAGAATAATCGGAAAGTAAAGTACTTTTATCTAATCCTGTTGGTTCAGAAGGACGGCGTTGATGATCAGGACGATTACCGATATCACCATTTAAAGACCTAGAGCCACGTTTTTGAGCAGGAGTTATAGAAGGAGAATTTAAGAGAGAAGAAGAAGTATGAATGACCACCGGAGAAGAGGAAGATTTATTTATAATAGAAATATCAGCAGCGGCAGCAACATCAGCATTTTTACTCTTATTTTTATCAGTTTTCTTTTGTAAATTTGGAGTTATTATTTTTGCAGTGTTGATAACGTTTGGAATAAAATTTGGAGCTTTTTTTAAAATGAAATTAAGAGCGGCGCCGGTTTTATTGTTTATAGCAACAGCTAATTGATTATTATTATTATTTATAGAGTCGCTGTTTCTGGAAAGAACACGTTGTTCAGAGTTTTTTGAAGAGTCTTTTTTTTTTATCTTAAACATTATGAAAAAGAAATGACTTGTATATTTTTTTTTTTAGGAAGGGTAGAGGAGTGAGTTAAGAGAATTGAGAGAAGCCGAAAGATAAAAAAGATTTTTTAAGGTTAATATATTATAATAATAATAAATTAATGAAAGATCTCGACACTGACATTAAACAAGTGAGAAAAGAAATAAAGAGAGAAGGGAAAATAGAAAAATGATATTTTGAGTCCTTTCGAACCTTTATTTAAGCTTTACAAACCGCCCAACATACAGAATTGAGTTCTTTATTTTCGAGATGGACAGTACGAAAAAAAAGAGAGAGGAACAAAACTAGTAAATAATGTGGAGAAAAAAAAAGTAGTAAACAAGTTTTATTGGATGTTACACGGTAATTTAACTATTCAAAATATGTAAAATATTTGTGGTAAATGTAAGTGGCTTCAACACAAACTAATGCTATCAAAAAGACGGTTACAAAAGTGACTTACATAACCGCACATCCTGTTTGACAAGATTTCGAGGACCTACTAATTTAAGTACGTAGTGCAAATGTAGTTCAATGTGCTATCATTATACAGTTATACGAATTAAGGGCAGCGATCACTAAATTTGAAATCTATCTACCGCTACATTCTTTCTTTGGTATATCACGTGAAATAGGTAAAGTATAGGTCTTTGTCCAGATAGCTAAGGTTATATTTATTACGCAATAAACTTAATTCAGTCAGTATATATTGTATTTATATATATAACTTATAACTTTCAATAGCATTAATTAGAAAACATTATTAATACGTATAATAGTAATATTCAGTAATCTATTAATAAAATTATTCAAAATGATAAATATACAATATAAACAATAATAATTATTGTATATTTTATCAATACAGTAGTAAAGTAATTAATCTGTAATAATAATAATAATAATAATAATAATAACGATAATCGTTGATTTTTCATTATTTATTATTATTATTATTAATTACAATTTAATTTAATATAACTCTAAAATGAGGCTGTGCTAGAAAGGGAGACTAAAAATTTTTTATTTTAATCAATATAAAACGAAATTAAGATAGATTTTCCCCCTTACTATCGCTATTGATGAATATCTTTTTTTTTTTTTTTTACGAAACATTCTATAGAAAATCAAAAACATTTTATTTTGATTACTGTATCAAGTTTAAACCATTTTTTAAAGGTGTTTGATCAATAATTTTATACTCATTGCTAATTATTGTTATGAAGAGACCTCGCTAATTGTACGTACAACATGGATAAAACAAGTATCACTATATAAAAGTCTGCATATTTTAATAATGATTTCGAATAGTGATAGGAGGGGTAAGTATTACGGGTACATAGTAATTTTTAAATCTAATTAAACTTCTTAATAAGTTTTAAAGAATATTTAGAGCTAAAATTAGTAGGAACACTTTTTGTGTTGATACTAACGCTAATGTATAGCTTATGTCATTTTATTATCATATAATTTTCGACTTATTTATTCTCAAAAACCTTTTATATAATTATTACATTTTCACATACGTATTACAATATTATTGTAAGTATTAACTTTTTTATACTATTTACAGATTCTAATCGCATTTTCTTGTCTCTCTCATTTTTCATTCAATACAAATAAAGTAAAAACATGCAATTAGTATCTAAAGTCACATATGACTCGACAAATAAAATTATCTTTGTTCCAAGTAATGCTAAGATTGTTAAACTATATGTAGTACAGTAGTACGTACATTACATACATGAAGTTTTAAGATTATTAAGATTATTAAGGGGGCCCCGCCTTTTCATAATTGTTAATGATAGACATTTATGTAAAGTTTGGTCACGTGGTGTGTAGGTGAAATTAAAATTCAATAAAATAATTATCCATTGTCCATTGTAGGTAAAATTATTATGCATCGCGTAAATGGAAATGCTATTGGAATTGATAAATGCGGATTTATTTTCCATGGTTATACTGAAGAGAGAAGTTAAAAAAAAAAAAGCAAGTTTATGCTACCAGAAGCAAACTAAACGTCGATTGTTGAATTCGTATTAAAAATTTAATTATTATTTTCTAACAAATATTTAGATAATTAAAACAATAATATATTTACTTGCAAATAAGCATTGCATAAGATTTAATAGTTTACAAATTTTTTTTTTTTACATCAGCAAACAAAAGTATATATCAAAATTTCATCTATTCTCTAAATTGGTAATTAAACATGCAAGAATATAATATGAATTCAAGTAAAAGGAGCAATATACATAAACGAGGAATAAGACACGCATACGTAGAAATTCTCATCGTTGGCGCTGCTTCTTTTATAACCCAAGATCGGCGAACTTTTGTTCCCTTTTCGAGCATTCTACATAAAAAAAGTCTCACACATATAAAAATTTTGAAATTCTATCATGCATAATTGCATCATTTTGCATCATATTTATTATTTTTATTTAATAACCTAAAAAAATTCACTTCGTAAATTTGGTCTTTGACATTTGAAAATTTTGGAAAATTAAATTAATTATATGAAATGGAAATAGTTTTACCAAAATTTAGGCTTCTTGATGCAACCCAGAAATCTGATGATTCGATCAAAAAAAATATCGATATATATGGAATTGAATCACAAATATCATCATTGCGAAATCATGATCATAATCGTATCAGATTAGCAAAAAATACCAAAATTAACGCTAACATTTCTAATAGAATTCATCATGTAAACGACGATATAGATCCGAATAAAATAAAAAATCGTACTCGAAATTCTGAATCTTTTAGTTCTCAAAAAACTTTGGTGAATAAAGATCCTGAATTATTTGAAGATAATGATTCTATCATGGAAAGTATTGATGAGGAACCAATAAATGTTGATGAACAATTAAATAACGATGAAAAAATAATAGAAAATATGTCAACTTTAAATAATAATATGCAAAAGGAGGGGTTCCATCCTCTTCGACAAACTAATTCTGAATTAAGTGTATTGATAATTTTAGTCTCTTTGGGATCTTATATCCTTGGTTATTTTGGTTTCGCGTTTATTTGGATAGTTCTTTTACTTTATCAATGTGTAAATTGGTATATTAATACAATGAAGAATGATATTGATAGCATTATATGGAAGACTAAACGTGAAATTTCTATGAATAAAGGGCGTTTTTTTTTTTTTTTTTTTTTTTTTTTTTTATATCTCTTGGAAATTTTTGTCACCAAATTTTCTCGTATACTGTATTAAAATCTATTTATATTCTTAGTTGAAAAGAGATGAGGGCGAAACAGTTGAATGGTAATTAAACTTTAAATCACAACCTTTAATTTGGTTACTAATATTTGCAAATTTACTAACATATTTACGTAATAGGCTAAATTATTTACTTCAACAAATTTGGCAAACATTTGATCCTTCGCTTTTGGTTGGCCTTCGAGATATGCTTGAAGATGCAATGTCACGTAGTGCGCCATCTTTCGTGGTATGCATTTCATTTTTATTATTATTACTGTATCAAATTTCATTAAAGTATACTGATTAAATATATTAAATAGCGTGCAACAGATATCGAAGCGTTTGAGATCGGTTTAGTCGCTCCACGAATTGAAAGGTATATAATATTGATTTCCGATTTTATACTTGTATAAAGTCATTGAATTGTTTTCATCATCTTGTAATTCTCGCAATCAGTATCAAAATCTTTCCTCTATCCGAAAGCAATAATGATGATGTTGTGGTAACATATCTAATTAATATAAAGCTTGCAATTTTTTCTCTTATTCTAGTAATTTAATACTTTCGAATTAAAATTTTACAGATTGGTGAAGCAAGGTTTTCATTCCGTGCAAGATCCTCAAAAACAATTCAAGATCCACCACCACACATTCTCGCATGGATAAAAACTGGAATTTCGGCTTGTAAGTAGTGTCTATAAAACAAAATTGATTAATTGAAAATATATTTAGTGTTTTTTTATATACTTACTCTCTTCTCTTCACTTAGTGATTCCAATTAGAGTTGAATTATTGGCGCTTATCGCATCAATTCACTTTGAAATAAAGTTAACTGGAACGTCTCCCTTCGTATCAACTGCAAGAATAAGTTTTCTAAATATACCTGTTTATGAAACTAGCATTATGCCGTTAATACCAATGAATATTGCACAGGTATATTGAGACTTTTTTATTTTATCAAAAATTATTATACTTTATTTTTAAACTAATAAACATTCAATTCAAAAAATTTCCATCGAATTTTTTTGTGATATTAGTTCCCATTAATCAAACAATTCATTCGTAGCGCTGTGCACTCAGTATTAGAAGAGCTAACATATCCTAAATTTAGAGATATTAATTTAGCAGAGTTATTATCGACCTATAATGGTATAATATTCCGTGTTTATATGGTTGTACTTAGAGATCTTGTGAAATTAATTTCACCAAATTTCAAATTAAAAATTCACTCTTAGTAGTGAATTTATTTAATTTCACCAGCATCTTTAGTTTTTGTCTTTGAAATTATGCTAATTCGCAAAATGTATATTGCCATTAGATACACAGTCAATTGGCATAATGAAGGTTGATATCTTTAGAGCAATAAACCTGACTAAAGTTGATGTACATGGTAAATGCTACCTTTTTTCGTTCATCGTTATTTATACTTCCTAACATTCTACTAATATCATATATTTCTTCAATAATGTAGGTGAAAATGATCCATATGTATTATCCTCATTAGATCCAACACCATATGCGCACACCCATAACTCAACTCGCATCATTGAAAATTGTGCAAATCCTGAATGGAATGAAACATTCTTTCATAAAATTCCGCAACTTGATCTAGTCGATCAGCATATTAAGTTTAAGTTGAGCGTTATGGATTGGGATAGATTTACTCCTGATGATCTTATTGGAAATGTATGGATTGATATTAAGAATGCTATCGGAGATGGAACTAAAGGAGTTAAAATTCATGATGGGTGTGTTTTTTTTTTTTTTTTTTTAAAAAAAAAAAAAAAACAATTAGTAAGAACGCATTTATAATAAATTTTTAAAAATTATTGAACCTTTATTAGGTTGCATGATATTTATCTTAAGACTACTGATTCATCATCTCGTGGACAATTACAATTTCGACTTGAATATTTCCCAAAGTCGCCTAACGATGCTGAACCGTCTCATGTTCAAA